CAACTACAGTCAAAAACACAAAAGCATGTTTGCATTAATTAGAAAAAAAGAGAAACTTACTTGATGACAGCATAGTGGAAAAAAGTGGTGAGAAGGCTGCCCAAAAGAAGGGCAGGTAAATACTGTAGGAGTTGTCCTCTCATAATTTCACTTCCTGCGAATAACGAGTAGCACCTCTCTGACTTTCTGTTTGCTTTGTCATCGTTACCCCTTGATTACTGGGATTATAAAGATCTCTCTTTATGACTTTGTAAAATGAAATCCTTCCTGTTCTCATTTAATGTTCCCTTTCATCTCGTGATAGTTGGTACACTCTTGTCAAACTAGTTTTTTTTTGTTTTGTTTTTTTTAACACCACCATTTAAACTTATTGATTCAAATAAACCCAACAAGCCTGATTTTCCAGTTTCTTAGCTTAAAGCAATGCTTCAAACAGTGTTGTAAAGGTAAGTAAAGCAAACAAAACAACTTTGCCAGTAATCTGACAGTAAATCATCTTTACAATTAGTTGCTGACAGGAATATGGGAAGCAGGGAGACATTGTAACACAGTTAAGACAGATGTTTACATACACGAAATTATTCATCTTTGAGAACAACTTAACGATGCTGGGAAGAGCCGCATTGTTCAACTATATGCAAATATAGACATGATGGGAATGTCTCAAGAATTATGGGTTCTATGTCCCAAAGATGAATGCATTTTGGTCCAAAAAAATCTATTTAGCTGTTATTTTAGGCAGAATAAACATAGGCCTTCAATCTATTTATCAGTGCTTCAAATAAAAAAATAAAATAAAATAGTCCAACCCAGACTTACACTTTGTCAAAGAAAATTTTTATTTACAACGGGATATTCATTGTAAACACAAAATTAGTGCCCTGCAGCTTACAGTAGGGCAGTTTGTTTCAGTATTTAGTGAGATGCATTTTTCAAGTAACTGGTACTTTATTCATTTTTGTCTGTGAGAGCTTAATATCCAACATTAAGCTGTCTTCACTCTGTATCTGTCAGAGTTGACACCTATTAAACACAGCAAATAACACAGGAAAGACAAGAGAAAGTTAGATTCTGAATACTCGCGAGGAGAACAGACAGAGATGTTCTTTCAGTTACAAATCTCCTACCGCTCTGAAGCACATTTGCCTGCCCCTCTCTTTTTATTGTCTTTAGGATCCCTAATCACAGAGAGCGCTGTAACTCTAAAGGGAGGGGGAAAGACACTTCATCACACAGTCACAGCGCCAAGATTATAGCTAACTAACAACACAATCTATCTCGCACTAGCTTATCTAGTTCCTGACCCAGGATCAAACAGGACAAGTTGTGAATCTCCACGGCGATGGTTTTATAGCTATCTGAGAGGTCAAAAGCAGGGCGTTCTGTGAAGAGCTGCTGTCACTGCTCTTCTTCAGAGAGGCCCTCTGAGAAAGGAAATCAGAGTGATTAACATTTCAGAAACATTTCTTAAAAGATATGACTAAAACAAATAAGAGTACATAAACTAAGAACATATTAAAGGTATAACAAATAGTTGATAATAATACAATTTACCTAGCAGTATCTTATTGCATCTTATCTATATATTTTGTAAGCAGCAGGTCATCCACCTGTTTTTTGTTTTGTTTTAGATAGACTATTGATGTTTAAAGTGTAAAGGTTCATGTTCTACAATGTTTTTACCCTTACCTGCAAAAAGAATTCACACCATGTTCAGTAAACAAGCAAAGATGTGAAACATATAAATTATTTGGCCTTTCTCAGGTTCTAAAATGTTTTAAATCTAACCTCAAATTCAAAAAACTTCTCCAAGCAGATTCCACATAATGGGGTGTTTAAATAAGTAAAATACAATTAATTTGGAAAAGAAAAACAAAACAAAAAAACTAATCACACCTAGAAAGCCTTGGAAAAGTTGGTGAAAAAAAAGGAAATAAGTATGCTCCTACAGTTAAAAGGTTTAGTATTTTCTTCTTACCATAACTATAAAATTGGCCAGTCATGCACCCGCCTGCGGCTTCTCTTCCTGCTTTTCCTGTTTTTTCCCTGCACACCTGAGTTACTGATGAGTGTTAACAAGCTGTGGTTGTTTGTTGTCATGGTTATGTTTCTTAAAGAGGCAACAGCTAAAAAAAAAAACTGGTTTGTTCACATGGTTGAGTTCTCTGCCAGGAACATGTAACTCTTTTGCTTAATTATTTATCTTTTCATTGTTTGAAGAACAGATAAATCATCAAACAAATAAAAGCAACAAACAGATAAAAGCAACAAACATTAACCCTCAGAACAAAAGAATGAACTACAAATAATTTTTATATAAACATACTCAATAAAAGGTCATTTTTGTACCGATCCTTACAGGTACATTTGTAAAGAAACAGCACAGGAAACAAATGAGGCATAATTTTTCAGTCGTGTTTTCATGTCTTTTATTCATTTATAGATGGCACAATTTCAAATTTAATATTCAATTAACAGGGAAATTAATTTAGCTTTTCGCTAAATGCATCAACATCTGCAGATCCAGCTTTTATTAGGATAGGGCACTTCCAGTTATCGGTTGACTAGTTTGCATATTAGCTAAATATTTATGCTTCAAACAATATTTAGCTTGCTTGCTAACAAAATATTTGGAGCTAAATATTTAGTTTGTAAAGAAAAAAAAAATCTTCAAATTAAATACTTAGCTTGCAACTAGATATTTTAGTTTGTGAACTAGATAAGCCAAATTATCATCATTAATTTTTGACTACTGGTATGTAACTTTCCAACGGCACCTGAGAGACAAACTGCAAAAGTGCAAAAATATGTAAAATTTAAATGTTTCGTGGCACATAGTGAGGATAACATTCTTTGGTTTGGCTTTTTTTCTTGATAATAAATAAAATAGACATCATTCTTTGCTGGACTTAATGAAGTGACATGCCTGAAGGTTCAGGAATTGAAAGCCCAAGGAACTCATCAAATGTGCATCACCAATTTGTGTGGTGCAAAGAAGTTGTCAGCTTCTGCATTTCATTCCCTGTTTTTGCTTCTGCCTGCTTGCTCTCACTTTTCTGCTACCTTTCAGAGCAGAGACGGTCTTCAGTCCCCTGCTGTGCAGAATATCACGTTCAAGAGTGGAAATACCCATCACTCCACGACGTGTAAACATTTTTCAAGCATCTACATGAAAGTTGTCTGTTCATCAGGTCCACATTTCCTCAGGTGCAGTTTCAGCACACCTTGGCTGTGCAACTGCAACAAAAAAAATTATTCATCTGACATAACGTGCATTTTGTTTCTAGCTTTGATGTCATCATAATAATGGTAAACCAGGTTTTGGAAGCTTTCTGGGTGGAGACTGAAAGGCCAGAATCCATACAGATCCTGATTGTCACAAAGCTTCAGCGCCAGACTGACCATCATCAGACCCGAGCTGTGACGTTTTCCCTTCAATCCGTGAGAGCGCCAAAAAACTGCCAGACTCTCCAGGTACTTTGGGTTTATGAAGGCAGACTGGATGGGCAACTTAAAGTCCTCAATGGTGAAGAAAACCCGGAATCCAGGAAGCAGCAGTATGACTTTGCCATATTGGACCAGACTCTCCGCAAACCTGCGCCGACGTCCTAAGAGCGAGCCGCACCTGCAATTATAAAATAGCTGTGAGTTACAAAGTTTGAAAAACTGTAACTTAAGGTGATACAGTTTAAACTGTTTCCCCACCTTGGAGCTAAGATCCTCGAGTTTGCAGACACAAAGTCTGTTTTCACCCCAACATGTTCCTCATATCCACTTAGCAAAGGAGCCAGGATACACCTGATGAAGTGACATAATTTGATTTGGTTTTATTTTAATTTAAAAGATATGTTCTACACCTGACAATGTTTTTTTTACCTGATCACAAATTCAGCTGAGTCAATCTCATTTCCACACTTGCTGTTTGCCAGGATTCCTCCGTTCCCAACAACAGCACATGAATGCAACGTTTTATTAAAGACCGGATGCTTCTGCAATCATTAGCAACAGGAAATTCAACAATATTTTACAAAGCAATATTGAGTTCATCCTAGAATATTCACTAAATCTTGAAGGAGAAGCTTTGGGTTATCTGCTATGTTTTTTTATTTAATAGAACAGGTTTGGCCAAAAGTCATTTTACCACCAGACCTACAGATAAGTTTAGGTTTAAAGTAAATGTTTGATTTCACTATCAAGTTTATTATAAACAGAAGCAGAGGTGTGTGATATGGTAAAAAAAAATCTATATTTTGTACATTTAATGATAGACATATTACAATAACTACATAAATATATTGGTAAACTCTAATAGACCAGCAAAAAGTCAGAATCTCTTTTAAATACCCAAAAAAGCAACCAGGTTTGAAGCTGCTTCTCTCCACATCCAACAGTAGATGTGATCTGTTTTACTGTTTTAATGTTCCAAAATTAAATCACGAAAACTGCGTAAGCCCTGACTGATTTAGTCCAAACAAAAATTATTTTTATTGTATTTCTTGAAAGACTGGTTGGTAAAACTTCTTGTTCAGTTTGTTAAAAGAAGATTTTAGAGGAATTAAAGTATGTTCAAGTGATAATTTATGATTTTATAAATTCTCATGATAAGTTATTTGTAGCTATGGAATGTACTCCTGTGTACACTTTTAAATGTGCTGTAAAACAAATACCGGAAAATGAACCCAGAGACAGCAAAGATTAATTAATTGTTGAAAAGTCTAATAATTTGTAAAAATGTTGAAAGATCATAATTGTACAACTACATGTTAATACCAAGTGTAATAGTAACACCAAATGCTTTGGGTAAAAAAAAAAAAAAAAAAAAAAAAAAAAAAAAAAATAAAAAAAAAATCAAAAAAAAAAAAAAAGGTCCACAAAAAAACAACTTTTTAAAGAGGAC